GGCGGCAAAAACACCCGGCGGGTTGGATAAATGTCCTCGGCGGGCCACAGTTTGAGGACCTCTGGCTTACCTGTTAGAAATAAACCCTGAACACTTGGGGGGAGTCAGTGGGGCAGTTAGGGATGAATTTTGAAATGCTCTAGCCAAATGAAAGAGAGGTGATGGGAGGAGAGAATGGCAAAATGTGGGTCATCATTGAAACCGGGATGGCAGGTCACCAGGCATTCCTGAGATGGCAGTGAAGAGAAAGTACCGTATATATACGAGTATAAGCCAACATGAATATCAGCCGAGGCACCTATTTGCACCACAAACACTGCATTTAAAATGTTCTGAAAAACTCGGCTTACACAAATATACACGGTATATTAACTTGTCTCCATTGAGAAGTCTTGTAGTGGGGGAGTGATTGTATAACTCCCCTTAATGTGACTGAACGAATGAACTGTTCAATTGTATGAAATCTGAATTATGTGACAATAAAAGTGATGGGGGGAAATTTTTTTTTAAATAATGAAAATTTTCAGGAACCTGCGACCAGAATGCGGATGCTGCAGGTGACACTGATTCCAGGGCAGAGCTGCCCCCAAGGGTCCTCTTGGCTGTGAACTTTATGAAAGCAGGTTGCCGGGTCTGTCTTTCTCCGGCAGGGGAGCTGAGTGGGTTCAAACTGCCAACCTTTCAGTTCGCAGCTGAGCGCTTAACCGTTTGGGCCATCAGGGTTTTTGGAATCAAAGTACCTAGGGTCAAATACTAGCTCCTGACACTTCCGAGCTGTGAGATCGTGAACGTGTTATGAAGCGTATCTGTGGCTTTGGTGTCTGTCCCCATCTGCAGAAAGAGCACCTGACTGACAAGCCTGCCCTGGGAGGAGTAAACGAGTTAAAATATGGAGAGTGCATAAGCCAGGCCTCACACTGAGCAAACGCTCCATCGACGAACGACAGCGATCACCTTCTTGGGGGAGCCTTGGTGGCACAGTGGCTAAGTGCTGCGCTCCTAAGTGAACCCCACTGTTGGTCCTGTAAAGATCGCCCAGCCCTGCAAGCACGCGAGGGCAGCGCTACTCTGTCCCACGGCGCCCTGAGGAGCCAGAACCAAGTCACTGCAACAGGTCTAACTCTAGACCAAACCAAACCAAACTCACAGCCTCCGAGTTCACTCTGGCCCACAGGCCCCACAGGACGGGCGAGAACTGCCCCTGTGGGTTTCTGAGGCTGCAGCTCGACGGGAGTAGAAAGCCATCTTTCCCCACTGTAGGCAGGAGTAGTATGAGCACAGTACCTACCACAGGGCAGGGAGGTGCCCTGTCCCCCAACACACACTTTTTCTTTTTTTAAAATGAATGATGGAAGTAAATACATTCACCGAGCAACGCCTCGGATGAAGACCAGGCTGGGCAGGCCCCTCAGGCCCCTGTCACTTATATCCTGGGCTGGTCTTTATAGCTTGACTGAAACCGAGCCCACCAACCTCCACGACCACGGGGGAGCACCCAAGGTGGCCTGTCGGCGGGTGGGGGGTGGTTCGTGTTCACATGCAAGTTCACACCAACTCATCGCTTCTCGGCCTTGTGGCAAATTCCGATGACTCAGTAGCCCTACGGGCAGGCTAGAACTGTCCCTGCGGGCTACCATGCCTGGTTAAGGAAGGAAAGGGCCTCATCGTTCTCCCTTGGGGCGGCTGGTGCTTCCGGGCGCCCACCACAGCCCAAAGCATGACCACGGAGCCACCAGAGAACTCTTTATATTCAATGTGCTTTGGATGCTTTTGTTACCCAACACATGTGGGACACGCAGAAGAGGCAGGGGGGCTAAGATAAAACAGTACCCCTGCTCCCCAAGGAGCTCCAAGCCTAGTGGGGGAGGAGGTGAGCCCAGGCTGACACTCCGCTTCGGCAGAGACCCGACTGACTGTCCGCCGCACACTGTGTAAAATGCCTCCCAGGCCTCATCGCGGTGGCACCCAGACCCAACCCAGGGCCAGCGCCTTGGTTCTGACTCACGGCACCCATCGCGCAGATGCAACTACCTCACAAGGTTTCCAGGGCTGCAAATCTTTCTGGAAGCAGACCATCATCTTTCTCCTGCAGGGCAGCCAGTAGCTTCAAACTGATGTCCTTTCTGTTAACGGCCAAGTGCTTACCCTCGCGTCACCAAGGCTACACCCTCCTAACACTCCCGAGAGCTGGCTGCGTCCATTCACCTCCATTTCAGATTAACAGTAGGGAGTTCAAGGTCACACCATTAGAAAGTGACCAGGCTGAGCATCCAAATAGTGTGTGCATGTGAGAGAGAGAGAGAGATCTGCTCACCCAGAGGTGTGTCCAACAGCACGAGCCCAGGGAGGGCGTGCTGCCTACACCCAAGTCAGCCTCCCTGACCAGAGTCATGACGGAAAAACACAGAAACGGGGCCAGAGAAGTCCTCTTCCAAAAATAGCTCCCACTGTTGCCAGGAGCCCTGGTAGTGTCATGATTATGCACTGGACTGTTAACGAACTCCAGGGTCAGCGGGTTGAAACCACCAGCCGCTCCCTGGGAGAAAGATTAGACTCTTGACTCCCATAAAGAGTTAGTCTTGGAAACCCACAGGGGCAATTCTAACCTGTCGGATAGGGTCCGTATGAGTCGGCACTGTCTCGACAGCAATGAGTTTGAGTCGGTGTTTAGGTGCCATCGGTCCCAGTTCATTGTGACCCTGGGTTCAACAGAACCTAACACCTCCCAGTCTAGTGCCACCCTTACAATTGTTGTCTGAGTCCCTGGGTCTCACGCAACTCTCCCTAGTAGGCCCAAACCCACTCCCCTGTCACTTCATGCCACCCGGGTCCCTAGTTTATTACAGCCCGGGGCTACTAGGGCAGCATGGCTCTTCCAAGGGACCAGAGTTGAGCAGTCAACATCTTCTGAAGCTGTGAACCTTGCTCAATCTTCTAGGCCAGGCAAGCCCACCAGCTATGCTGCAGCCATTCGGAAGGCCTGGACTATTTTCCAACAGCACAGACTCCTGGAGCACAAGAGAGACCAGGGGGGCCACCCAAAGGTGGCCACAGAACGGTTCAGAGGCGGGCTGCCTCAACTCCAATCCCAGCTCTTCCATTCCTGGTGTTTGTGGTAAATGATCTTGAAGGAGCAACTTAACTCCTCCAGGCTCAGCTGCCCCAGAGGGTGGCTGACAACTGAAATAGTGGCTGGCCCAAGTACTCATTCATAGAATGCTAGCCCACGGAGAAGCCGAAACCGTGTTGTTGAGTCCATGCCGACTCATAGCGACCCTATAGGACAGCATAGAACTGCCCCTGTGGGTTTCCAAAACTGTAACCCTTTACGGGTGTAGAAAGTCTCATCTTTCTCCCAGGGAGGCTGCTGACCCTGTAGCTAGCTAGCAGCCCAATTCATAACTTCTAAGCCACCATACTAAGTACTAATTACATGGTCAGGACCCCGCCCAGCTAGTAATCAAGCCCCACCCACCTCCCATGGCACACAGACCTACCACAGAGTTCCAGTGGAGGCTGGCAGAAGACCAATCACTCTGGCTTCCTCCACGCGGAGTGATTCTCCCCCACTGGCCACGCCAAAGGAACAGCTGCCTACTGCTCAAAGGAGACCGAGGGGCAGCTGCCCACTGTGGCAAATCCTAATCCTGTTTTGGGCCCATTCTGAGATCCAAGTCACAGAACAAGCACTTATTAAGCAATTGCTGCTTACTGTGTACTAAACCATAGGTTCCCAAACTCATTCGGCCTTTCCAGAAAAGAATTACTCAGTGCCGTCCTGGCAATTAAAGGCTTTTGTACTATAGCCCATAATCCTGGATAAAGCATACGTGTCTGTTTTTGTAGCCCCCCACCCCCCACCCCCCGGGGTTATTCTAGTGCCCCTGTGGGTAGGACAGTATCACCCATTTTGGAAAACACTGTACTACACTAAGGTGCCCCAGCCCTGCTGTGGATTAGGCATTGGGCCTATTAACCAAAGGTCAGAGGGTCAAACCCACCAGCCGCTCTGTGGGAGAGGTGAGGCTGCCTGCTTCCATAAGGAATTGCAGTCTCAAAAGGCCTATACAGTATAAGGTCATTATGAATTGGAATCAAGTGGACAGCAGTGGGTTTCTCCTCCTCCTAGACTAGCAGGCAGGGGAAAGACCGTAAAATAAACGGCAGAGTAGCTAAGGGGGCCTGAGGAGTTACACGGCTCAGGTTCGAATCCTGGCCCTGCCGTTTACTGGTTGTGCAATCGTGCCAAGTGGCTTCGCCTCTTTGTGTCTCCGTTTCTTCGTGTGCAACAGAGAGATCCTCATCACACTCAGCTCTTGAGGGTGTTGTGAAGGTCAAGAGAAGATGTGTTTCCAAATGTTCCTCAACATGAATGCACAATAAACATGGGGGATTAAAGACCAGTCTGATTCCCAAGTCAAAAAAAAAAAAAGAATTTTTATAGCGTGGCCAGGGTTTCAGTCACTTGAGAGTCGTGAAGATTCCTAAAAATCTGGGCTGTGCCCTGCCCCCCTCCTCCCATTGTGCCAACGGGGAACATGGAAGAAAACAAAACTCCCAAAGAAAAAGAATCTGTACGCAGCTGAGAAGCAAATTAAGTCCAGGCTCTTCAACCTTGATTTCAGACCTTCCTCCAGGTGGGCAGCACTGCCAACCTCCTGCCTCTGGTTCCCTAAATGTTCACTCTGCCTGGGGCTAGGGAACCACTTCCTGTCCCTCAAACACCACGTTCAGCTCCCTCCCTCCCCCGCCTGTTTGGGGGCTTCACATTCCTTCCTCCCCATTTCTTCAACTGTATGACCACTGCCGCTCCTGACCCTGGGTGGTGTAACGGGTGCTTAGCTGCTACCCCAAAAGTTGGAGGTCCAGGTCAAGTCCACTCAGAAGTAGCTTGGAAGAAAGGTCTGGCAATCTAGGGCCAGAAAAACAATTATTATTATTTTAAATCAAATCGGCCGTTGAAAACACAGCTCTCCTCTGACACCAGAGCAAGTCTAATAGAGCTCGATGGCAGCTGGTTACTCAGCTGCCAAACCCAAACCCAAGCCAGACCCACTGCCCTCAAGTCCACTTTGATTCAACAGCGACCCTACAGGGCAGGGTAGAACTGGCTGGCCCCTATGGCTTCCAAGACTGAAACTCTTTCCGGGAATAGAAAGCCTCATCTTTCTCCCAGAGTGGCTGGTAGTTTCGAACTGCTGACCTTGTGGATAGCAGCCTAACTTGTCACTTACCAAGTCACCAGTATTCCCCGGAACAAGGCGAATCATACTGTCCTGCACCACTTCACACCCTCCACAAGGCCTATGCAGAGCCACGTGACTATAAAGCTTGCAATAAATATTATGATTGCTAAGTGGGTGGATGAAAGAGGAAGCAGAGAGCTGGTGATTAGGCTCCGGCAGCCTGTCTGTTTGGGGGGTGTCACCCGACATTCAGGATTGGCAGAACAGCACTGCCTACTTGTGTCCTTCCCTGGGAAGTGTCCCGCCCTGGGCCTGCAACGCTGAGCCTGGTGACTCATTCCAGTGGCTCTGCCGGTCTTCGAAGACACTTCTGCAGACGCAACAGAGTATGGAGAAAACTTGGCAGGCCAGGCAGCATGCTGGCAAAAGGAGGTCCCAGTTCCCGGCTCAGCAGTGGCGGGATTTTTGGTCTCAGTCAAGCAACCAACTTTCATGGAGCAATGAAATCCGTGGAGGCCGGAAGAGGGAGAAGGGACGGAAGGAGCTACACTTGGTGCTGGGCACACCAGAGCCCAGCCTAGGCGCATCTGAACTCGGCCCGTGGGCCCTTGAGTGGGCAGGGATCTAAGGGGTATCCCACTGTCCCTTGGCAGCTAGGGCTCTTTGCCAACTCAAGACTCCATTCATCTCTGTAAACCTCAGCGTTCTGATGTGGGAAATGGGAGTCCCACTAACAGTCCCACACTCTTCCCAGCGGTGCTTTGAGGGCTGGTGGACAGTATGCCTCTCAATGCCATAGAACGGACCTCGGGGTACCGTTCCATCTGACCTAGTATTTGGAGCCTTTCCTTCCCTCTCCAGCTGAAGTATGCTATTTCAAATGCCCACTGGGGCACGCGGATCCCAAGGGGCCTCTTACATAATATTCAGTTTGAACTTCTCAAATAAAGAATACCTGAGGCTTCTCCTGCCTGAAGCTTCGGGTCTTTTAGTATATGTGCCCGAGGCAAACGTAAGCTTCGGGTCTTTTAAAAACCCACTTCGACGTCCCACCACCAGCAGGGCTAAGACGAGGCCTCCCGGGGGTTTCCAGGGTGCACAAGGTTGCCTTTTCAGACAACTGCCCATTCAGCGGTTCCTAACCCAAAAAGAATGGGCTCCGAGGGCCGGCCGGCTCCCTTACAGGTCACCGATAATGTCCGGTGACATGCCTTTGGCCAACCCTCCAAGCTGACTCCAGCATCCTCCCACGGTCTATCTCCGGCCATTAACAAAGAGGGTCTTGGGTCTGATTTGGTGGGGTGGGGGGCGGAAGGCATCCTCCAGAGCCAGGTCCGGCCAGGCCTGTGTGATTCCGGCTATGGGTCCATCGGTCCGGGGGTTGGCCCGCTCCCGGCGGAGGGGGCTCCAGGGGGCCGAGGGTACCCACCTTCTGCTCGACGCCCTGCAAGCCTTGGCCCAGCTCCTCCCGCTGCCGGGAGATGTCCTGGTGGCTGAGCCGGACCTGCTGGACCTCCTCCAGGACGTGGTGGACACACCAGCCCGAGAAGGCGGC